ACAAGTACTTGAATATGTATACATGGTACTTGAATAGGAATACATGGTAGATGCAGAATACAAGTACTTGAATAGGTATACATGGTAGATGCAGAATACAAGTACTTGAATAGGTATACATGGTACTTGAATAGGTATACATGGTAGATGCAGAAAACAAGTACTTGAATAGGTATACATGGTAAATACGGGATATGCTCCCTTGACTATGTACGTGTGAGTACAGCATCACAATACAACTCAACACAGCACCGTACACCTCCACACAGCGTTGGCATGTGACTATAGAGTGCCCTACATTGCATATACCAATAGCCTGCCTTGCATGAGCCCTCCACTTACCTCCGCGCCAGTCGCAGCACCAGACCAGCGATATACAGTCGCACTGAACTGGCAAAGGCATCGTTCTGCACTTGGTCAGATGGGGCCGCATTTGTCCTGGGCCCTGCACTGCCTGTAAACAGGTGCATGTGAGAGGAGTTGAACACGAAAAAGGGACAAATATACACAAAGGAGCTATTAGAGGCACGAAACGATGTGCGATGTACACAAAAGCGCCTGTAAGTATACGTAAGCGAAGTAGTACACACGTATATACACACGTATATACACACGTATACGAACTCATACCTTTGGAAGTAGCACACTTTTGGCTTAAGCAAATAGGACAGACCACTTGAGTGTATCTCAGACTATAGCATACTACACGTCAACGTAGCTATAAACATACATGCACACGTACACATAACTACATGCATACATACACACGTACACGCACACACATACACGTAACTGCACATATACATACACACGTACACCCCCATGTATATAAGCACGCGTACCTTCGGATGTGATGGATCGTTGGCTGACATCGTCCTCGTTTGGCAGCAGCACACCTCCATACATCTCATACTCCAGCAGAGCCATCTGATCCACCAGATGCGACACACTGCGAACGAAGTTGTGTGCTACGTTGATCTGGTTTTGGCGCAACTCCCAGAAGGCGTTATCTATTACCACTTCAGTCTTGACAGCCGCGACGAAACTGGTGGCTGCAATGGACAGGTGATAGTGTATGTGTGAACACTTGGCATGTAATACAAACAGGTCTAACTATCCAGGGATGTGTTAGATGTCTGCCGTATACTATGAGCAGGCCTCATTTTGTATATATATATATGTGTATATATGTGTGCGCGTGTGTGTGTG